TTCCATTCAAAAGCAAAAATGGGCTGGCTAGCCGGGCTCAATCTTAGGCAGAAAAATGCATCTTTCAGGTCAAGAACAGTATACCACCTGTGACTGGGAGGCAAAGTACTCAGGAGGTTGTAAGGATTTGGGACAGTAGGATGTATATCTTCTATCCTCTGATTGACTTTTCTTAAGTCTTGGACTGGTCGGTAATCATTTGTTCCTGGCTTCTTTACGGGGAGCAACAGAGTATTCCAAGGGGACTGGCAGGGGCGAAGTATGCCTATTTATAAAAGTCTCTGAATGTGGGGTCTGATTCCCTCTCGGGCCTCTCTGCTCATAGGGTATTGTCTGATTGAAACTGGAGTTGCAGATGGTTTTAGTGTGACCACTATTGGAGGCTGGTTGCATGCCAGTCCCGGGCCTCCTGTCTTGGCCTATGCCAAGGGAATTTTGCTTAGCCATTCAGATATACCGGGAGTTTCTGTTATCGGTCCCTCATATAGCCGATGTTCATCCTCCAGTCGCAGGGTTAATACCTGTAATGGAGCTCCATCCTTTCCTTGTACAGTAGCTCCCTTCCTAGTAAAGTGGATGTGGGCTCCCATCTTAGAGAGTAAATCTCTCCCAAGAAGAGGATATGGACAGTCTGGGACCAGTAAGAATGAGTGGGAGACCTGTCCTGTACTGAGGTTCACTTTTCTTTCTGTGGTCCACCTATATGTCTTTCCTCCAGTAGCCCCTTGGACCCAGGCTGTTTTGGAACTCATGGGTCCCTTAGTTGTTGTCAAGACTGAGTGTTGAGCTCCTGTGTCTACCATGAAGGTAGTCAATTGCCCCCCTATCTTTAGAGTTACCCTGGGCTCAGGGGGGAGCTCCTGGCCCCGACTCCCCTAGTCCCCTAGGGTCAGGACTGGGTTTGTCTTCTTCAGCTTCTTTGGGCATTCTCGAGCCCAATGTCCTCTCTCCTTGCAGTAAGCACATTGATCTTTGTCCACTCGAGGTCTTCTTTTGTCTCCCAGGTCCCTACCTGGCCCTGTTCCCTGGACTACTGTGGCCAAAATTTGACTTAACTTTTTATTTTATTTTATTTTTATCTTTTCTGGCTTCCTGTTCTTTTTTAATTCTATTTTCTCTCTCTTTTAATGTCTCACGCTTATTGTAAATTTTTTCAGCTTCTCTTATTAAATCCTGTAAGGAGTACCCCTGAAGGCCTTTTAGCCGTTGAAGCTTGCCACGAATGTCAGGAGCAGATTGCCCTATGAAGGCCATAATAAGGTCTGCCTGGCGCTCCTGAGCTGTGGGATCAAAAGGGGGTGTACATCCTATATCCCTCTATGAGGTGCTCTAGAAACCCTGTGGGGGTTTCATTTTCTCCCTGGGTTATAGCACGTACCTTTGCCAAATTGGTTGGGCGCCTTCCAGCCCCTTTGAGACTCGCTAACAGAGTCTGGTGATAAAGACGGAGACACTCCCTATCTGCTACGGTTTCAGGGTCCCAGTTGGGTCTAGTCAGAGGGAATCCTGCATCTATTTCATTTGGGAATAGAGTGGGTCTCCCATCCTGCCCGGGGACATTTTTCCGGGCCTCCAGGATGACTCGCTGTCTTTCTTCTGTGGTTAGAAGGGCCTGGAGGAGTTGCTGACAATCCTCCCAGGTGGGTTGGTGGGTGAGGAGAATAGACTCTATTAAAGCAGTTAGAGCCTGAGGATCCTGAGAAAAAGAGGGGTTATGAGTCTTCCAATTATACAAATCAGAGGCTGAAAAAGGCCAGTACTGGATCTAATCCCCTGTAGTTCGGAGGGGAAAAACCTGGGCAGTCCAGGTTCCATCAGAAGGGCCCCCTCTATCCCTCCTTAAGCGGAGTCTGTTAGGTAGAGGAGGGGATTTGTCAGGTTCAGAAGAATCAGGAGAGGGATAAGGTAGTTCTTGGGGTGGAGGTGCCTGCGTAGGTGGATAGGGAGGTGGAGGATTAAGGAGGGTTAGGGAAACTTGGTCCTCAGGGAGGACTGGCTTTTACTTCTTCTCAGGGGCAGACTGAAGGGGAGTGGCCCTGACCAGAAAACCTCAATTGCTCCTTTGCCTTTAATGGTCCCACGCGAAGACTTGAGCCGAAAATAGAAGGAAAGGTAAAAAGAGTGGAGGAAAGCTTAAAATGGAGAATCTAGAAAAACCAGATCTTCCCCTTTAAGATAATTGTGTAACCTTCAAACACATGCATATCACACTAAATTACATTCATGTGGACCGGTCCTTTCACTCAAACGCACACTGCATTTAATTTTTACTTTTTCAGGATCCCCAAGCACAAATACAGACAAGACAAAACAAAATCCTTACTGCACGCTTCTTAACCCAAAAACTGAAAGTACAGATCGGGAGGGGAGTAGCCAAGCCAATCTCCCTTCTCCCGAGATGAGGAGACACTGTCTTCCTCACTTCAGATCACTCTGGTCACTAGGGCCAGAATGTTGGAACCTGGGGTCTCTGGGCACGTCTGCCACTCCCCTTCGTTCCCAGAATACAGACTTACAGGTCCTGTACAGGCACAACTGTTCAGACGGAATGTTCCCAGAGCAGAAAATGACTGACAGACATTAAGACCAAGACAAACCACAAAACAAATATTCTTACCTCCTGCTGATCTGAGGAAATGGGTCTGGGGGCGACCAAATCCCAGACGCGCCCCCAAGTGTAGGCCGAGCCTTTGGCTTACATCAGGGAGTGGCCCTGACCAGAAAACCTCAATTGCTCCTTCGCCTTTAATGGTCCCACGCGAAGACTTGAGCCGAAAATAGAAGGAAAGGTAAAAAGAGTGGAGGAAAGCTTAAAATGGAGAATCTAGAAAAACCAGATCTTCCCCTTTAAGATAATAATGTAACCTTCAAACACATGCATATCACACTAAATTACATTCATGTGGACCGGTCCTTTCACTCAAACGCACACTGCATTTATTATTTTTACTTTTAGGATCCCCAAGCACAAATACAGACAAGACAAAACAAAATCCTTACTGCGCACTTCTTAACCCAAAAACTGAAAGTACAGATCGGGAGGGGAGTAGCGAAGCCAATCTCCCTTCTCCCAAGGTGAGGAAAACTACGCTATCTTCCTCACTTCAGATCACTCTGGCCACTAAGGTCAGAGTGGCGGAACCTGGGGTCTCTGGGCACGTCTGCCACTCCCGCTGGTTCCCAGAATACAGACTTACAGGTCCTGTACAGGCACAACTGTTCAGACGGAATGTTCCCAGAGCAGAAAATGACTGACAGACATTAAGACCAAGACAAACCACAAAACAAATATTCTTACCTCCTGCTGATCTGAGGAAATGGGTCTGGGGGGGCGACCAAATCCCGGACGAGCCCCCAAGTGTAGGACCCCCCCAGACTGGGGTACCCTACGTTCACGGGAGGTCGCGCCCCAATAACTCAGTCCTCAAACCAGTAGATGCAATAGCAAGAGGAATTTAATGGCATTTTGCAAAACGGACTCCTGCCTCACTCAGAGGACAGAAGCCCAGAGCCCAGTTCACAGGTTTCTTTTAAAGACAAGCAGCGGCTATGTGCCAAGCAGAAAAGCGGTGGCTATGTGCCAAGCAGAGGTAGGGGGAATTTCTGGGATGATTTCCAACTTGGGCAGAGGAGCATGAAAAAGGTCAGCTCAGCTTGTTCTTAGCATTCAGAATTATTTTTTATTTTTACTTCCTTATACAGTTTTTCTCAGGCCTGGGGGATTTTAGTTTAAATTCATTATTCTGGGGCTTTGGATCCATCAGCCTACATGTATGTGAGTGCACCCGTGTCGTGCAATTCCCTCAGAGTCAGAAGAGGGCATCAGATCCCCTGGAAGTGGAGTTACAGATAGTTGCTGCAATGTGGGTGCTGGGAATTGAACCTGGATCCTCTGCAAGAGCAGCCATGCTCTTAACTGCTGAGCCATCTCTCCATTCCCACCATCCTTATTTTTTAAAAGGTTGTTATTTATGTGTGTCTGTGTGTGTGTTACATGTGTGTGCATGCCCTAGGAAGCCAGAAGAGAGTGTTGGAATCCCTGGAACTGTAGTTACAGATGATTGTGAGCTGCCTGATGTGGTCCTGGGAACCAAACTTGGGTCCTCTGTAAGAGCAGGAAGTGCTCTCTTAATTACTGAGCTATCTGTCCAGCCCCTGGTGCTTTTAATTTTAACAATATTAAGAGCAGTAGGAACATGTGAGGGTAAGCATTCTTGTGGAAAGCTGGGCGGTACATGGTGGTGCATGCTTGTAAATCCCAGACTTGGGAAGATAAAACTGAACTAGGAGGATCATTAGTTCCAGGGCAAGATAGCCAGATTGTGTCTCCAAAAAAAAAAGGTGGGGATGGGGGAGGGAAGGAAAAGGGAAAAGAAAGAGAAGGGAAAAGGAAGGAAAAAGAAAAGGAATGGGGTCTTTACAGCTTTAGAAATAACAGCTTCACCATTACCTCAGAGAGAAAGTGGAGGAGGTTCTGGTGCCTTCCTTGTTCTTTCTCTTCCTGGGATTCTTCACTCTCTCCATCTTCCAAAAGCAGTTCACTGGATTCTCTCTCTGGGCTGCTTTCTTCTAGTTCTTCAATCTCTGGATCTGGATCCTCAGTTTCCCTCCAACTGCCCACATCAAGATCCAGACTGGAGTCCCAAGAGCTGAAGACAGATCTGTAGTCATTGCTCAACTCAGAGTCATTGTGATAGTCTTCAGAATTCAGCCAAACCCACTCACACTCCATCTGTAAATACACAGAAAAAAAAAAAAAAGTATCAAATTCATTCAAATAAAACCAAACAAATTCATTCAAATCAATATTCTAAATGTACCTCTACCTTTTGAGTAGAAAGGGACTAGAAAGTATTTTTCTATATATTAGGAAGAGTAAAGGCTAGCTTAAAGACATTAAAATAAAAAAAAATACCTTATCTTTATGTACGTGAGTGTATTGCCTACATGTGTTTAAGTGCACTCATGTTGTGCAATGCCCACAGAGGTTAGAAGGGGGTGTCAGATCCCCTGGAACTGGAGTTACAGACAGTTGTTAGCCACCTCCTGGGTGCTGGGAACCAAACCCAGGTCCTCAGCAAAAGTAATGAGTGCTATTAACCACTGAGCCATCTCCCCAGCCCCAAGGGAAACTTAAATTTTCATCTTTGGACAAAAAATAGTTTCATGTCAATATATCACTTTTTTTTGGGGGGGGGTCTTTTTGAGACAGGGTCTCCCTGTAGCCCCAACTGTCCTGGAACTATGTAGACCAGGCTGGCCTGAACTCACAGACATCCGCCTGCCTCTGCCCCTCTCGAGTGCTGGGATTAAAGGCATGCACCACCACGCCCAGCTAATATATTACCTTTTTAAAAAAAATTTGGTTTTTTTTGGTCTTTTTGAGACAAGGTCTCCCTGTTGCCCCAGCTGGCCTGGAACTCACTATGTAGACCAGGCTGGCCTTGAACTCAGAGACCTGCTTGCCTCTGCCTCCCGAGTGCTGGGGTTTAAAGGCATGTGCCACCAGACCCAGAGTTTATTTTTGGTCTTTTTTGAAACAGGGTCTCCCTGTAGCCCCAACTGGCCTGGAACCCACTATGTAGACCAGGCTGGCCTGGAACTCACAGAGATCTACCTGCCTCTGCCTCCCAAGTGCTGGGATTAAAGGCATGGACCACCAGGCCCAGCAAAGAAATTATTTTAGATTTTTGTGTTTTGCCTGGATGTATGTAAGTGTACTGATGGTTGTTAGCTGTCATGAGTGCTGGGAATTGAACCTGGGTCCTTAGGAAGAACAGCAATTATTTTTAACCACTGAGCCATCTCTCCATTTGGGATTCTTTTTTTTTTTTTTTTTTTTAAGACAGGGTCTCCCTGTAGCCCCAGCTAGCCTGGAACTCACTATGTAGACCAGGCTGACCTTGAACTCAAGAGATTCACCTGCCTCTGCCTCCTGAATGCTGGGATTAAAGGCATGCACCACCTCCCCCAGTGGGATTCTTTATACTCCTAAAGATGGGGAAGAACTGGAGTGTATATAGCTTAACAGACTTGCTTTATCCAAAATCATAAAGTCAAGCACAAAACAATAAAATTGAGGAGAACCAATTTTCCTCAATGTATACAAATTTTAATCTATTATTAACTTATTAGCCATTAGTCTCAAAACACCTTAAGGTTACCTTTGGTAAGTATCCTTCTGGTTAAATTTGTTAAAATAAAAACTGGAGGGAAAAAAAAAATAACCTTGAAGCACTGAATTTTATTAATTTATTCATTCATCCATTTTGGGGAAACACATTCATTTTGACAACAGTCTTCCATGTTTTCATTAATAAAGAGGCATACAGTTTGAAGTTTCAATTCTCTGTTCAGGTTTTTTTTTTCCTTCTTCTTCAGTCTTCCTATATCCCCAAACTCAAGATCCTTCACACGTGCTTCACACGTGCTGGCTAGAATTACAGCTGTGCCAATATACACCTAGCTTCCATCATTTTTTTTTTTTTTTTTGGGGGGGGGGGGGGGGTAGTTCTTTTATTATACCTTAGTATAACTCTTAATGACGTCTCCTTATTCTGCTCCCCCCCATAGATGTCTAAACTTTTAACTTGTCATCAGCTCATGTGTCACCTTCTCTACCAAGCTCAAATTCATGTCTTTCAATGTACTTCCTCCACAAACTTTTCAAACTTTGAGACTGGGTCTCACAATGCAGCACTAGATGGCCTGAAACACACTATGTAGACCAGCCTGGCCTCAGATTTGCCTGGTCCTCCTTGGGAGTGCAGGGATGCCTAAGCATTTTTCCAACTTCTAATGACTCCATGTTTATAACATATATTGGTTTGTGGATTTGCTTTGAGATATTTCATTTTCCTACTCCTGGATTGACTGGATTCTATTTCATGATCTCAAAGACTATCTTCTACTTCCTTGGCTTCTTAAAATACACACACACACACACACACACACCCTGCTTTTTGAGACAAGGTCTCCCTATAGCCACACCTGGCCTAGTCTGGAACTCCCTATGTAGACCAGGCTAGCCTCAATCTCACAGCAATCCTCAGCCCCCACATTCCATAAATAGTTCTATTTAAGGAAAAAAACCTGTGACTTGTGACTTTGTTTTTTGAGACAGGGTCTCCCTATAGCCACAGCTAGCCTGATCTCTATGTAGACCAGACTAGCCTTGATCTCACAGGTTCACCTGCCTCTGCCTCTGCCAGCATCAAAGGCACAATTAGCCCATCTAAGACCTGTGACTTTTAAGTATATCCTTAAACCTTTTTCCTCAAGAAGTACTAAAAATTGCTCTATTATTTAAAAAGAGGCTCATTCACTGATGAATGAAAAATTTTTTTAGGTATTTAGTAACAAAGTAGAACTGAAGTTACACGGTCTCAACTCACTTTTGTTACTTCTGTGTGCACACAAACAGGTATATGTGTAGTAAAATGCATGCCATTGTGTGCCTGTGGCGATCAGAACACACTTTGCAGGAGTGTTTTCTTCCTACCATGTGGGGTCTCAAGGATCAAACAGGATTCCAGCAAGTGCCTTAACCCACTGAGGTATCTCACAGGCCCCATACACATGCTCTTTTGAGACTTCTCCTTCTGTAGTCCAGGCTGGCCTCAAACACTCAGTAATCCTGCTTCAGTTTCCTAAATGCTAAAGTGATCATGGTTTTCAAGCAACTTTTCCCCTCTTAACATTTGGGATTTGCCAAAGATGCTAACCAAGTACTATACTATTATGCCACTGAAATACATTTCTAGCCCCAAACTTGGAAACTCTCAAAGTGAGACACACCTTCACACAAACAAACATAACAGTAATACTGTTTTGTTTGGGAAAAAAAAAAAAAAAAAAAAAAAGCACTCTCAGTCTGGTCTGGTGCATATACCTATAAAATAAGCTACTAGGACGGTTGAAATTGAAGGATTATGAGTTCCAGGATAGCTTTGTCAACATAGAAGACTCCATCTCAAAAACAAAAGAACACTGTACAAAAGTCCTACCTATAGAAACAGAGAACAAAACACGGACAAAGATAGTGTTAAATAACATATTACTGAAATAAAAGTCAGTGCTACCTATGTCCATATTCTAATCTTTAAGCAATTCTATGAACTAGATCCCCCAAAATGTCAAAAAAAGTTCAATAATAAAATGGTCTTTACTGCATAATCCAATACTTTAGAAACATTAATTGTAAATTTAATCATGGTTACTCACCTCCTCAGTTGCAGGAGGCAGCTTATAAGACTACTTCTCAGCTCTACCATCATTCTCACAATTGGAGAGCATGTAGAAGAAACCACAAATTTCAAACACAAAGAGTACACCAAAGGCCAAAGTTTTCTTTTTGTTTACTGCATACACAATTTCACAGGTTTATTTTTTTTAAGTCTGTACACTTCACATGACAGTACAAATTGGCTACAATCTGCTAGCTACACATGAGGGCATTAACACAACCCATGATTTTTGCCCTAAAACAGGCAGTTGTGCTACTCCAACTCTCTGAAAAGAGATTTTCTCAGCTCATAACATTTGGCCCAGGTCTCTTTTGTAACTCCCTCTTCTGGGCCCACATTGCTTCTCAGCCTTGTGGCTAAGATCAAGTGTGGAACTGAGCCCACAAGCCCAAGCTCTATCTTGTTTACTTCTATTTCAGGTTCAGCTCAAAGAGGGTACTCTGAAGCTTCATTTCACTTCTTCATCTTCATATCTGCTTCAATGGCACAGCGGCGTCCTCTGGTTCCCCCATCCTAGACAACGGCAGAGAAAGGAAGGGAATATGAGTGAGTTGGTTAGGAGGTAAGAGACAAAGTGCAACAGGAATCCTGGGGATTTGGTTTCTCAGGGGAAGGGGGAATCTGGAGAAAATACCAAAATGATGGTATGTGTGTATGGGGTACGGGTGAGGGAGTGGTGTTTCTGTTTTCCCACGAAGTAGCTAAAAGAACATCTGGAATTTTGTGAGTGGAAATGTAAGACAGAGTATTTTCCTCATGCCTACCACAGAGGTTCTTGGAATTTACCTGGGGTCCCACAAAACTGACTAGTCATCCCACCCAGGCCCAAATCATGTACACAGGAAGAGAAAGAACAAATAAAGGTGGGAAGAGGCAGAAAGGGCAGTGAGGTTCTTGGCTAACATACCTGTCCAGCTGTTGGTCCCTATAAGAAAGGCCTTTCCTGCAGCCTGACCCTGGCACTAGTTCCCTAGCACCTCCTGACAGTTGTTTTCCATGAGATCAGGACAATCAGGCTTCTTTTCATTTGCTGTTCTCTCCCTGTGGCCCAGCTCCTTCCTCTTGTGCAATACTTTGCTGTCTTCAATAGGTAAAAGATCCTATTAACCAGCCTTGCAATAGTCAGCCACTCACTTGAGGATCCAGGGTCACTGTTGCAGGCCAATAATAAAGAATGAAGACCATAGTGTTCTGTTTGTGGTACAGACAGAGGTTTATAGGCAAGATGAACTACTGATCACTTTTGTGATCACTTTTGATTATTTTTTGCATTTCTAATATGCAAGGACTGAAAATTTTTTTTAGAATCTAGGAAACTAAGTTGCCAATAGCCAACAGTAAGAATAAAAATAACATCTTGCATTTGTGTAACACTTTATTTTTTTCAAGTTAGTTCATAACCTATTTTAGCCTCACAACATCCCTGTGAGGTAGGCTAGACAGGTATTTCAATCTTATTTTTAAAAATTTATTTTATTTTATGTGTATGAGT